TCAACCTATGTCTTTTGATGTAAATTGCTGATATAGAGGGACTTATGCCAGAGGAGTCCTGATGGCTGCTGGTTACTCATTGGGCTGGGATCCTCAAGGTCAGCAGTTTGAAATCACCAGCAGCTCCACTGGAGACAGAAGGGGTTTCTACTCCCATAAACAGTCACAGTCTTGGAGACTCACCAGGACAGTTCTGCTCAGTCCTATAGGGTCACTATCAGTCAGTACTGACTCGATGGCAATGAACTTGGCTTTGCTTATGCTTATTGCTTTCTTTTAGCGAGTCCCATTTCTGTGCCCCTCGTTTCCTGTTACTAACTTTTGTTATGTCTTTTGACTTTCCTTGAGGTTACACATTTTTTATTGCTTTCTCGTTTCCTTTTGTGTATGTTTTAAAAACTAATTTCATTTTTTTATTGTCATGGGGATTACATTTACATCCTCAATTCATAAGAGTTATGTTCAAATGGATACAGATTTAATTTCAGTAGTAAATGAACACTCTACAGATATATTGTTCTTTTTTTGTCTTTGTCACAAATTACACTTTTACACAATATGGGCCCAATTTTATTTTTTGGTACAGTTGTATTTTAAATGTGTAGGGCATAAAAAGTGGAGTTACAAACCAGATCTACAATACTATTGACTTTTCTATTTGCCCAGTTACCTTTATCAGCTACTCTATTCATCCACCTCAATTTACTGTCTACTTTCCTTTCATTAAAACTGAAGGACCTCCTTTAGTATTTCTCGTAAGACAGTTCTAGTGTTAACGTACTTCTTTAGCTTTCGTTTATCTGGCAATATCCTCATTTCTCCCTCATTTTTGAAGAATAGGTGTGCTAGGCAAAGAGCTCTTCCTTGACGTCCTTTCCTTTGGTTACTTTAAATATGTCATCCCTCTGCCTTCTGGGCTCTTTGTTCCTGATGAGAAATCATTGCATAATCTTATTGAGAATTCTTTCTTTAATGAATCGTTTCTCTTTTGTTCCTTTCCAGATTCGTTCTTTCTCTTTCGTTTTCTAGAATTTGATTATAATGTATTCATTCTGCTTTAAGGTTTTAAAAAGCATCTTACATGTGTAGATTAATGTTTTTCATCAAATATGGGAAGTTTCCAACTACTCTTTCTTCAAATATTCTTTCTCTCGCTCTATTCTGGCATTTCTGTAATGGATATGATAATTTGATAGAATCCCACAGGTCCATTAAACTCTGTTCATTTTTCATCATTCATTTTCTCTCTGCTCCTGATACTGGATAATTTTAATTTTTTCTATGTTCAAATTTCTTTCTTCTGTCTGCTCGTAAACCTTTCAAGTGAATTTTTACATTTATTATTATCCTTTTCAACTCCAGAGTTTCTACTTGGTTTCCTTTTGTGAATTTTACTTGATATTCTCATTTTTTAAATCATTTTTTTATTTTTAAAAAATCATTTTATTTTTTTATTATTTTAATCATTTTTTTCTTCTTTTTTAATAAATCATTTCACTGGGGACTCATAAACACTCTTATCACAATCCATCCATCCATCCATTGTGTCAAGCACATTTGCCGAACTCTTTTTTGTGTGGTCTTGTGACACTAGTGGTAGTTCAATATTTGGTGAATGTGTAACATTCTGGATGGCTCTTTGCAGAAAATTTAGGACACTGTTTGATATTGCCTGAATGTCAACCTGGTCAGTGTGAGCAAATGGCTGTTAAGGCAACACTGACAGCAGCAGTAGCATGAGATTTCTACTGATGCTGTTGTTGTCGGGTGCCAGCAAGTCGACTGTAACTCATAACAAGTGTATGTACAAGAGAAAGAAACCACCCAGTCCTGTGCCGTTCTCACAATCTTTGCTGAGCTTGCGCCCATGGTTTCAGCCACTCTACAAAACCATCTCATTGAAGGCCTTCTTTTTCGAGGCATCTCTAGCTTACCAAGCATGATGTCCTTCTCCGATAACATGTTCTGTTCTGATAACATGTGTGTTAGACAGGGTTCTCTAGTGAAACAATACCAGGACACATGATTTGATATCTATGTATATAGATAGATATATAAGCATAAGAAATGAACAGCTAATTCATCTATAGAGCAGTACAAATGGCTCAGTGCAACTCATTTCTGTGAGACAGCTAATACACTGGCAGTTCTTCATGTCACGAGGGCTGCCAGGTGCAAATCAAGGAAGCAGACAGCTGAGTCCTCTGTAGAGCAATTCAGGCAATCTGGCCACAGGTAGCAAACAGTAAGGCAGGTTATCAACAGTCAGCCAGATGACAGGGTCCGACGGTCCCCAGCTCAAGTGATGTATACACCAATAGCGTAGTGAAGCAGGTCTTGAAGGAACCTCAAACTACAGCAACACAGTCCATGGGTTGGGTGTCCCACAGTAGTGTAGCTCGCAAGTTGAGGCAGAGAACCAGTTAAGGCAATCACGCACTGGTCCAATCATCAAAGAGTAAGAGACGAGAAAGACAAGGCTCACGGAGCCATTTATGTATCCACCCTTCAATTAAACTGCCCTTCAACTAATCCCACATGTGTTCATTGGCCAAGTTGGTACAATAAACCTACCTATCACAACATGTCTAAAGTATATAAGACAAAGTCTTGTCACCCCGACTTCTAGGGAGCATTCTAGCTGTCCTTTCTCCAAGTCATATTTGGTCACTATGCTGGCAGTCCATGGTATGTTCTTTGCCAACACAATTCAAATGCATGAATTTTTCTTTGATCTTTTTTATTCATTCTCCAACTTTTGCATCCACACGAGGCAATTGAAAATACCATGTTGGGCGCAACTTCATTTTCAAAGTGACATATGTGTTTTTAACACTTTAAATGAGGTCTTCTGCATTCGCTCCACCCAGTGCAATACATTATTCAATCTCTTGATTGCTGCTTCCATGGACATTGATTGTGCATCCACGTAAAATGGAATCTTTGGTAACTTCAATTTTGTTCTTCATTTGTCATGTATTTATTGATCCACTTGCAAGGACTTTTCTTTATGTTGAAATGTGATCCATTCTGAAGTCTGTAATCTTAGATCTTCAGCAGTGATTGCTTCAAGTTCTCTCCACTTTTAGCAAGCAAGGTTATGTCATCTACATTTCACAGATTGTTAATCAGTCTCCCTCCAATCCTAATGCCACCTTCTTCTTTATACAGTTCAGCTCCTCAGATGATTTGCTCAGCATACAGACTGAATAAATATGGTGAAAGGACACAACTCTGACACACACCTTTCTTGATTTTCCCTGGGATTTCTGCTGTGAGGACCTGACTCTTGGAACTACAGCAACTATTTGTTAACATTTTGAAAAAGAGAATCTGTGATGTGTGGGCATTACATCCAGGTGGTATTCCTAGAGGTTGCAATAGAAAGAAAGAAAATAGCTTAAAGAGGAAAATATTCAGCTCTGACTTTAATTCCACTTAGTCCACTAAGAGAAAAGAATACTAAGTCAGGTGGCAAATTTGCCTTCTTTATTTTTAGTTTAATGTGTTATTCTAGATTTAGAATACATATTATTGCACTGGGGGAAGGGATCAGAAATTCAGCATTTAAGTGCGGCCGTCCTAGCAGAGGCATACTGCTATGTGGGCCGAGATGAGGCTGCTCCAGACGAGTGTCTGTCAGTGTTAGTTGATGGAAACTTCCCACCTTCGTCTTTATTACCTTAGCAATGCTGTGCCAAGACTGCTGAAGCACAGCTGTGGGTGCTAAGCAGACGCCCACATTGCCAGTGTCAGGAAGGGTGTACTTTTAAACCTCTAATTTATCTAATAATGTCTTTAGTGATTTGTGTAGGTTTGATATTGTGATGAAAATGCTTCCTGGCTTGCATTATAACGAGAAATCGGTTTTGTATTCTTAAAATGTATATTGTCCTAATATTCATGTGGAGAGTACTAACAAACCAGCCTAGACAAAGATCTAATTAAAATACTATCCTGACAGTCTACTACCCATGGTATTTAAAAATGAATGCAAATTAAATGTCCTAGGTTAGAATAATCCATGTATCTATTGTGGTTTCTGCTTTATAACATGGCAATATTCAGTACTGAAAGGAAGCCAGCACGCATACTCAATTTTGGTTTGGCTTCTTTACTTTTCTGTAATAGAGAATGGGATTGATTGAGCTTATGCCAGCCTGTCCCATAGAAATAGAATAACACGTTCCTCTCACTGCCATCGAATCCGTTCTGACCCACAGGGACCCTTTAGGACAGAGTAGAACTGCCCTGTGGGTTTCCTAGATGGTAAGTTTTTAAGGGAGTAGAAAGTCTTTCTCCTGCAGAGCAGCGGGTGGTTTCAAACTTCTGACCTTGCAGTTAGCAGCCCAACATATAACCACTATGCCACTGGGGCACCTGATGAATTCCTAAAAGCAAATATGCTCAAAAGCAGTAGGAAATAACACTCTCATTTGAAATGCCAAGTTTTCTAACCAGAAAGTAGTGCTATTTTATTTAATGTTTATAATAGGCATGTTTTGTCTTTCAGGAAATAAGCTGGATTCTTTCATCACTAGCGGAGTCACTGTAAAAACGAATGAATTTATCAAAATTAATGTACACTAAACTTTAGGCTTGATGGCACCTAACAACAACAACAACATTTTAAAAACATACAGAGTTCACAGGGAACATTCCTACATTGCTTATCGAAGGACTATAAAGACATTAGATTGGATCTGGAGTGTGTTAATGTATGTATACCTTGAAATCGCCTTTGTCCCAACTCTGAAATTCAGACCTTTTTTGGGGAATAGTATTAGAATTTTTGACCTGGTAGAGACTTTGTTGTTGTTAAGTACCATCAAATCGGTTCCTACACTCAGAGACTCTCTGTACAACAGAAAGAAACACTGGCCAGTCTAGTGCCTTCCTCGCCGTTCATTATTCTTATGTTTGAGCCATTGTTGCAGCCATGTGTCCGTCCGTCTTGTCGAAAGCCTTCCTCTTTTTCGCTGCCCGCTGCTTTACCCATCATGCCGGCCCGCTCGCCTGACAGCACGTCCAGTCCGTGAGACGGAGTCTCCTCTCCTTGATCTCTGAGGAGCCCTCTGCCGACCTTCTAAAGCAGATCTGTTTTCCCTGGGCCGTCCATGGTGCTGCCAGGACTCCACGCCAGCACCTCGGTTCAGAGCTCTTCCATTCCAGTCTCTTCATTTTCTAACTCACTGAAATCCAAAGAATTCAGCTCCCCCCCTGAGGTATGTCAGAAAAGAACCCAGGTTTTCAGCTCCTTTTATTTCTGACATAACCTCCTATCTCTAACAAGTCAGTTGTATAGCAATTATAAGATAAATTAGTAAAAAATTTTGGTTTCTGTCAATGTGCAACTTTATTCAGGTTTCAAAGTCAAGAGTGATGCCTACTTATTCTTCACTACATTTTTATTCCTGTAACAACATGAAGAAATCACAGTATGTAAATTACAAGCTAAAATGATTTCTAAGTACTAACATGTGTATGATGTATAAAATAGTACTTTTCAATATCTATAGCGAATAAGAACCCATATATAATAATTAACTCCAGCACTAATGATAAATGAAGAAGATACTAGGAATTCTCCTATGACTTGAGTCCATTATGAAATCTGAAGAAATCTATGTTCATCGAGTGCAGAAGAAATGAATGTGTTCAGGACTGAGATTTTTGCTTTCATACTAACACACACAATCTGATCATGATTTTTGAGTATTTCCATAATATTTAACATCTATCTACTTCCCACAGATAATGCTGTCTGGTTTTTTAAATGTGTTATTTGGGGAAAGACTGATTTAAAATAAAACAAATATAGTTTGTACAAACTGAGAAGTACTGGCTACTGAACATCACTAGACTGCATCTGTTCCTTTATAGTTTAAAATTTCCCACCAAGCATGTATTGGGGTTGTGGTTGAAAGGGCAAGTTTGACTGACTTATCCATTTAAATAAATATTTTGAGGATAAAGATGAAATTAGTCACTGTGAGCAGTAGGGAAGGACCATGAGAGCCTTCATGAATCTGAGTTTGTGTGGAGTTTTTTGGTGTGTTGGAAAACCCTTTTTGTTAACTTAACTCAAGACCCTATGATTTATACACAGAGCCCAGTTTATGAAACTTAAATTGAGCCTTTTACTTCTGCTTAATAGTATATAACCCTGAGAAAGTCAATACACAGAAATTCAAATGTGCATTCATGAATCCATTAACATCAGCAGCTTTAAGGAAGTGCAGGGCTTTCCCTCTGTAACCAACCTTACAACTTAAATGAAAATCCCGCTGCCACCGAGTCAATTCCAGCTCACAGGGACCCTAGTCCAGGGCTCCTGAGGCCGTCATGTTGTTCCTCCAGTAGAGAGCTTCCTCCTTCTCCTGCGGAGTGGCTGGGGGATTGCACCGCTGACCCTAATGAATTATTTTTCTAAACCACCCATAATTTACATATGATTTAGGCATAAAACATACAAAGAGTTTTAAAAAGTCTATGAATAGATAAAGTCTGTACTTTGGTGCCTAAAACAAATACAGTAAAAATTTCTGCATATGAAAGTACGTTCTTTTGTTCTCCAGATGTGAATTGCTTGAAGACACGAGAGGTGAGCAATTCAGACATAATCTCTTAATATATACAAGTAGTAAAGAATCCTTCTTGGACTACATTTGAGGGGCCTAACAAGACTATCATGACTTTAAAACAGTCAGTCCCCCCAAATGACACACAGCAAAAGTTAAAACATTTTAAAATCATGCTGTGTTTTTAGCAGCATTGCCAACATGATAACCTTTGTGACCCCTGTTTTCATACTGCCACGAGCATTAGCCCTCCTCCAATATTGGCTACACTTTTGACAGTTGCCAAACTTTAAACCCTTCTGCATCAGGATCTCTCACACGTTGTGTGAGAAATGATGAAAGGAAGCAGTCTGTTATTACCATGTTAAAAATGACAAGCTTTAATGATACGCTTTTATTTGAATTGTATCGCATATTCCCTCATGTGACTATGTTTTAAAATATATTTGCAATTCTGATTTTTCGGAAATAACTACATTCAATTCAGAGTCAAAACCTCAAGAAGTTATTCACGCTAAGTGTTGGAGCTTTCTGACAGGACGGAATAGCTGATGTGCTGCCACGTCTAGCTCGCTGTTTTACATCTACTATTAGTCAGCCATGTCTCCTCCCTACTGCACTGAAAATATTTTCATTCTGTCTGACAGAAAGGTAAAAAACGGCATTAACTGTGACTAAAAATGCATTACGGATGACACATTAATAGACTAATGCTTCTTGCCTTGTTCTGTAAAGTTTTCATCGTCGTACCTTTGGTGAACCTAGTTCCAAATGGTTTAATAATTACACAAAAGATGTCTTTATTTATTTTTTAATTCTGGGGAGTGAAATTACAATAAAGTGCTGTTGACCCATTTTATTGCAATTTTAAAAACAAACAAAAGGACAAAATAAATATCTATATACAAAAGGTCCACTTAGGGAAAATATTTGGAATGTGTCCCATTAATCAGAGTAAATCATGACAAAAAGGTAAAACAAGAAATGCTCACAAAGAATTGTGATCTGAGAAGGAAATGTTAGGCTCATGAAAAAAATTCTGTTAACTTAGCATGAAAAGAGATATGTTAACATCGTTTATAAATCCCATCAATATACACGTATTTCATAATTGCTAAAGGGCACACTGGCTCTCAAAGCATTTACTCCTTCACCAGGATTAGCTTTCAGCACATGCTTACCTACCCATATATCTGAGATATCACCCTTGCATTGTAACACACCCTATTCTATTGCTTTTTCAAAATCTTCGTCACAGTTCATAAATGGATTTTATCTCTCTCTCTCTCTCTCTCTCTCTCTCTCTCTCACACACACACACACACACACAC